GCTGTGACTTCTCTGTAATTATGTCATGTCTGCTCCCACCCCCAGCCCAGATGATTCCCAAAGTTCATTCCTGTTCTGACTGGTTTACAGTTCTATTCTGCTCAATTCCATGCTTCAGGTGGGATGAGATGGAACATGGGGATGCTTGAAGGCCAGTGGGAAGAGCAGGTGATGAGCTGGCACTAGGGAGAACTATCGAAACAAGTAGGGTGGGGACTGGGGTGGGGGTGATGAGATCATTTCTTGGGTCATGTGTGGCTTCTCACCTTAGAGACTTGCAATGGTGCCACCTCACAGCTGGTGGGACCCCGCGAGAATGGGAGGTTAGTGATGGGAGAAGGCCAGGAACCCAGGGCCTCCAATTAAAAAAAAAAAATGGCATCTACAGTTTCCTTGGGTGGGGGGAGCGGTGGGGGGAAGAACCTAATTCAAAGCCTGGAGGAGCTGTACCACCCAGATCCAGCTGATGAGCAAGCACTGAATCTGAGAGCACAGTAACCCCCTCAATTCCCCTCAGGAAGTCTTTGCCAGGCAAGCCAATGCTTGTCTCCTCAAAACAGGCTGTGAGTCCTGCAGTCTCTCAGGCTCAACTACCTCCTTACTTCTTGGAACACAGGTCCTTGTTTTTGTTTGTTTTCTTTGCCTTTAAAGTTAGTTTATGTGTAAAAAAATATGTCCTGGGTCTAAATGTGTTAAACAAGAAAATCTGAAAGTCATGAGGGGATATTCTTCCTCTCCACCCTGTGCTCCCTGAGTTTAGCTCTGTGGAATGTCTAGACTTTGTCCTTTGCATTTAAATACAGACTTGAATACCTATGGAAAAGTGGAGTATGTCTCCATGGTGTGAACTGGTTTGTTTCTGTTTTTCCTCCCATTTGATGATATGGCTTTCCATGTTAGGACATTTATGATCATTTTATCTTTTTAACTGCTATAGAGTATTCACAGTTTGCAAATAAAAACCTCTTGCCCTAGGGCACATTTCAGTGGTTTTCAATTTTTAGCTATTTCAAATGGCCACAGTGGACCATTGTTCTCTCCTTGGTGAGCCCAAGCACCGTATACTTATAGGATGAGGACACGGGAGGAGAGAACTGGGTCTGAAACAGGGAGAGGTTTCTTTCTTTCTTCCTTCCTTCCTTCCTTCCTTTCTTTCTTTCTCTTTCTTTCCTTCTTTCTTTCTTCCTTCCCTTCTTTCTTTCTTCCTTCCTTTCTTCCTTCCTTTCTCTCTCTTTTTTCTCCCTTTCTCCCTTCCTTCCTTCCTTCTTTCCTTTCTTCCTTTTTTCTTTCCTTCCTTCCTTCCTTCCTTCCTTCCTTCCTTCCTTCCCTCCTCTCTTTCTTTCTCTCTTTCTGCCATTCCTAGGTCTTAAACTCTGGGCCTCGGCACTGTCCCTGAGCCACTATGTGCTCAAGGACTAGCGCTCTACCACAGAATCAGTTCCAGCTTTTGGGATAGTTTATTGAAGGTAAGACTGCCACAGACTTTCCTACCCAGGCTGGCTTCAAACCATAATCTCCAGATCTCAGCATCCTCAGAAGCTAGGATTACAAGCACAAGCCACCAGTGCCTGGTTAGGAATAGATTTTTATGCTACCAGTCACTCTTCAGAGAGGACACTTCCTTCTCAGACTTCCTGAGGCCCCTAAATTCAAGCTCTGTGGGAACCTCATCTCACATCATCCTGTGTGATTACATAACTACTCTCTGTCTCCTATCATCACTGTGAGTTCCCAAAGGGCCTCGACAAGGATGCCTCTGTATACCTTAGTGTATCCTTCTATTAGTGAGTTTGGCTGACTTAAAGAGCTGAGTTGACAGATGCCATCCTCCTTCAGGCTACCTCCGCCTCACAGCTGAGAGCCCCCTCCTCAACCCCTGAGGAGCATCAGTAAGCAGCACAAGGTCATGGCTAGTTGTTCTAGGAGGGAGCTCTGGGAGCCCCAGCCTGCCTTCGTGGGGCCCGCTGAGCTCTGAGAGCAAGTAACTGTTCCCATTTTATAGATGACAAACATGAGGTTCTGAGAGAGAAATCAACAAGCGACTCACAGTTTCAGTAGACAACCCAGGGTGCAGTGAGAATGCACTGTTGGGCCTGAGCCAGGGGAAGCTTTGGGGTCAGAGCCACTTGCAGTGACCAGCATGTCTGCCTTCTTGGTCAACCTCAGTCCCTGCCATCACAAAGAATGTGTGTGCCTTGGCATCCATGGCTCTCAGTAGCTTCTGAACCCCATTTCTACAGTCCATACCCCAATATACAGAGACACACCTATGGATATCCTGCTTATTAGATAACAAATTTAGAAGATACTCTCAACCACGTATGTGGAAATCCTGCCCCTGCCCTGAACACAGAGAAAAAAGCAGAAACAGCAAAATTAAGTTCCTGACCTCATCGAAGCAGGAGACTGTCACTCTATGAACAAATAGATATTAATGTGTCCAGAGAGTGGAGAGAGGTGACAAATAGAAAAGAAAACAGGACAAAGGTCAGAGGGTATGTGTGCTCGAGTTCTGGATGGTGTTAAAGGAGGGGTCAGGAAATGTGACTGAGGGGGTCACATTTGAGCAGAAACTGGAGGGACCATGCAGGTCACAGTGGAGATGGGGTAGCTGGGCACAAAATCCCCTGGGGCACAGTGAACCTGGCAAGGTTGAGAAAGAGGACTGAAGTCCAACGGTGAGTCAGGGGATGGCCAGGAGGAGATAAATTTGGGGTGGGAGGGAGAGCAAGGGGTGGTCCTACAGATTTGGTTTTTTTTAAGCTCATTGTATGTAGTGGAGTTGTGATCTCTCACAAACACAGCGGCAGAAATTCATGGAAGCTGGATAAAAGCAACAAATTCTTTTCTTCTCTGGAACCCTTCACTTATTATCCTGGGCCATGAAAACAATATGGTCATTTCCTCCTCCTTCTCCTCTCTCTCTAAATCTGCCCCTGACCTTGTCCCAAGTTGGCTTTCCTGAGTGCCTCTGAGGCATTGGCTGCCTCTAAGTTGCAGGCAGAAGACAGGGCCAGCAAGGGGACAAGAGCAGAGACGCCCCCGGAGAGGCAGGCAGCAGCACGAGGGACGACGTCACAGGGACCTTTGAGCGCTCTTCATTTCAGTGCCCCGTGTCTCCATCAATAACCGTCTGACAGTGACTAGGGAGGAGGGAGGAGGGAGGAGAGGAGGAGGGGTGACATGGGGCTCCACAGACCAGGAGAGGGATGGAGACAGGCACTTTGGCAAGAGGTGGAGTAAGGAAGGGCGTTGGGAACTGGAGTTTCCACCTCCCAGGTGCCTGTCCCTGCTTCCTCTTTCCAACTCTATGGTTCTTTCACACATACAGTCTCTTCCTCCTTTCCTTTCTGGCTAGGAGAGGAAGGGAGTAGGCACAGGATTAATTTTTATATTAGAAGAGGAGGGAGAAGGATTTCTTGGGCACAAGGTGGAAAGTGGAGGAGTTGGACATTGCAAAGGATTCTGGGAACATTCTGTGCCCTAACACCAAGAGGCTACAGCAAGCCTTGTGACAGGGCTAAACTGTGAGTGCTGGCCTGGGGGCCTCAGGAGACAGAGGACTGTACCAGCATAGAACAGCCATTCCAGAAATAAATGGCCATGAGAAGGGTCATTTAAATGGCTGGCTGCAGGCAGTTAGGAAAGGAAGTTGCTTGTGGGTGGTCTAGAGCAGTCAATATGGCTACCTGAAATAGGTAGAATACAACATGGGGTACAAAAGCACACATGGGGAGCAGACTGTGAGCATAGTAATGGGAGGTGGGTGAAGGGGACTAAGGAAGACAATGGAGAGACAGAACAAGAGGGGCTGACTGTCCTGCAGGGTTCCTTCTTTGGGACGTTGCAGTCTGTCTGCGATGACTGGTGCCCAGAGGACTCAAGTCTGCTCTAGATCAAATGGGCTTTTAGACTTTCATCTTGACTTCCAGCCTTGCAGGTCTCACACTTGCGGATAGAGGAGGAGACCTCTGACACTGAGCCGTTAGTTGGAAGAAATGTCCCCAAAAGATTCTCCTATCGCCAAACTGTCTTGTTCCCTTGTCACAGTGCCCGAAGGGCCAGCATTAACAACTCTACAGTCAAATTAGTAGATGGCTCTATCCAATCCAGAGGAACAATAGCATGTGGCCGCTAGAATCACTGGAAAGGCAAAGTGAACTTGACTCTGGAAATCATCCTGGGCCTGGGAGACTGAGGCCTAAGAGGAGGTGTGAGAAAAGCTTTGGGGGAGGAGGGTCCCCAGTCCCCGAGGAGTAAGAGGAAGAGCAAGACCAGGCCTCAGTTTCACCACTGTAACTAAATGAACTGGGTAACCCAAGATCTCTTCCCCCCCCCCCCCCCCCACATTGTGAATGTCACAACAGGAACTGGGGCTAGGGACACAAGAGACACATGAGAGCCTCCTTTGTTTTATTAGTACATCCTGGCCTGGGGGGGTCTTCCTTACAGATGGAGCATTTACTTGGTGGGCCTGGTGGGGGGAGTGTCCCTGCTCATCTCTGATGGCGCACCGCCTCCATCCTGAGAAGCCAGAGTGCAGAGTTCACGGTCAGGTGTGGCTAAAGTCGCTGGGGGCGTGGGGTGGGGGTGGGGGCTACAGGTGAAAACTGCCCATTCCAGTAGGTGCAGAGGATGGAGCATCTGAAATGGATAAAATAAAATGAAATGAAATCAGCACTGCTATGGGTGGAGGGAGAGGTGAGGGAGGCAAAGACTCCAGAGGCACCAGCGTGTGGGGGCAGTGAGAGGGACCCACGGGGTGAGGGGTGTGGTGGAGTAGGGGTGGGGACTCGGAGGAGGGAGTCAAATAGAAACGCCACGGGAGGGACGAGAGGCAGAAGGACGGGGACTGCGCGAGGCTGGGAAGTTCTGAGGTGGGGAGAGCGACGGGAGCCAGGAGGTGCGGGGTGGGGGGGGCACGGAGGGCGCGCGGCCGGGCGCGGCGGCGGGCCTGGGGCGCCCCACTGACCCTTCTCGGCGCTTGTTTCCCTCCCCAGGCTGCGCTTTCCTCACCTACTGCGAGCGTGAGTCAGCGCTGAAGGCCCAGAGCGCGCTGCACGAGCAGAAGACTCTGCCCGGGGTAAGTGGCGCCTGCCACGGCCAGCGGACGGCGCGCCGACAGGGGGCGACTTCGGGAGGCCGGGCTCCTACGGGGGCGGGCGGACGGACGGGAGGAGGACGGACCGGAGGACGCGCAGGCGAGCAGATCGTGGCCCCCCGGGGCGCCGCCGCCGCCGCCGCCTCCCGGCGCCGGGGAACTCGCGCGCCGCGGGGTGGGCGCGAGGGCGCACGGGCGCCGGGCGCAGACTCGCCGGGCGACCCAGGCTCCCCGCCGTCCAGGCCCGACGGAATCGAGTCCTGGGGGCGGGGAGCGGGGGAGGCGAGGGGCGGACGGTGAACTTGGCGGTGCCCACCGAGTCCAGCTGTGGCTCTGTTGCGCACGGCCCGCGCAGACGGCCTGGGGCGGGGCGCCGGCTGGTTCTGCCCCCCCCCCGTACCCCCAGTGCAGCGCGGTCCTCCTCTCGCCCCCGACCCCCGGGGCCCCGCAGGTACCATCCAGCACCCGAGCTAGAGGTCCGTCACCCCCTCCCCGCTGCTCCGAAACCCGGGCGATGGGAGGGGCGCCGCCCGGCCCGAAGTGGGCGCCGCGAGTGAGATCACCGCGGTTTATTTAAGGAGCCGGTCCTCGTCTTTGATAAACTATCGCGCCTCGGCCCTGGTTTATAGCTTCTGTGCGGGGAGAGGAGAATTATTTACGGCCCCCCTAACTGGGTGTGATATCAGCCATGGCTATTATCGAGGCTAGTTCATCACCATAAAATAAGAAGTGTTCCTCGGGTCAAGGGTCTGCGCGACGTCTCCCGTGGGTTCAGAGAGACGGGGGCGGGGGAGGGGCGGGCGGGCAGATATACGGCTGCTGAGGATCTAAAGATAAATGGAAAGATAGGTGTTTGCGGGTATAATTTAAAGAATCGGTGGATACGCGGTGTTGGAAGCGTTACCACGGGCTCTGCGGGGACGCACGTGTGTTCTCTATGTATGCACTCCAATGTTTAGACATGCGTGTTTACATCTTGCCAAGCAAACCGCGTGTAAACACACGTTTCCTTTTCGGCCCCACAGCAGGGAAGGTTAACCAGGTAGACGTAGAGAAAATGCAACCTTGGACACGGGGAGGGGTGGGGGGCAGCGGGGCAGCTTTCCTTTGCCTCAAAGATCTTTTCTTTATGGGATTGAGGCTTTTCCACTAGCCTTTCCTTCCATTAAGACAGCCTTTGTATTGTATTTTGGTATTTGTGATTGCAAAGCACGGGGCTGAGTCATCTTAATAACATACCCGCAGATGCAAATATATGGAAATGGAATGGCACACAGATTTTGTGTGGAGCCCAGCTTTGGCAGGGTGGCCATTCCCAGTTGGTTTTTTAGTGGCGCAGCTACATGCACATATATTATAGTAATTACTTTCTGGGTCCCCTCTGTAGGATGGCAGAAATATGCTTCACATCGCCCCATGTTATGTGTGAAGCATAAAGCCATATTGTAAGATAATCAAAGGCTTCTCAGAAAGGTTTGTGCTGATTAATAAAGTGTTTATGGTACTTTGTTTTGGGGGAGATTGTGATAGATATTTTAGAGCCACCCAAATGGAATAGAAAATACCACATCGTTATTGGAGGCCCTTCATCAGCTTGAGAGAGAGATTGCTGGGGAGTTTCATGATGGCTAAAAAGCCGGAATCAAATAGGGAAACAGAAAGAAAGAAGGCGGGAGGGGGAGGGCTAGGATTTTGAAACTGACGAAAAAAACCAGAATTCGGAGAATTCCAGTAGCTAGTATGAATTGTTGAGGATCTAACATTAACTTGTGGTTGTTTATTTTACATATAATAGGATAGCTAAATGATGGAGTGTATTAGTTCTTTAATAATTTATAGAAATACTTTGATGTTGCAGTAATTACATTAAAGGTCACATATCAAAGGTAATTTGGTTGAGCAGCTGTGATGGTTTCTCAGAAGCAATCAATATCACTGTCCGTGGTGCTGATTTCACCAAGGGGCCTGCCAGATTAAAGAAGGCTTATTACCAGGCAGAAAGGCCCAGGGGAAATCAGGAGCACATTGGAGCAACGCGCCAGCCTCTACCCCCCCACCTCCACTGATAATTAACACTGTTACCCATAATCTGCGCTAATCCTTCATACTGGGAGATCTAGTGGCGGTGTCTCCCCCCCACCCCCAAAATTACAAAGACAGGTTGGCAAGTTTGGGAGGAAAGGTAAAAAGAGATGTGAATGTATGTTAGGAAAAGGGAGGGGTGGAGATAAAGGCCAACAGTAGTCCTGAAACATAGCCTAGAGTCCCCACGCACTGCCCGAAACACCACCCTTTCTTCAAAGGCTTCTCTGGGAGACTCATGGCCTCAAAAGCCTGCTCACACAATTCTCAGGGCAGGTACCGCTTCACAGGGGGAAGGGACAAGGAGAAAAGATAGAATTGTTGCTCCAAGTTCCGAGGGCACATTGTCCCCGCACACACTTGCAAGTAGACAAATGAAAAACAAAATGACGGAGTAAAATTATGCTTTAAAGTGGAGTCATTTTGATTCCAGAAAGCAGACCTTGGCATTAGTATTGTTAGTTGGTTCTCTCCTTTGAGATCAGAGAGTGTGCTGCTAGCAAATGCAGGGATTAGGACTGAGCAAAATGCTCTCACCCAAGCAAATAACACATGTGACCCCAGCAGCAGAGGCTCCGCTCATAGCTACCTCTTTGATGGGGGGCCACAGAAGAAGCCTCTCATCTGGGATGACCACACTAGGGGCCCCAATGAGTGTACTCTGCATCTGACTAAAGAGAATGAAATTGAAAAAAGAACCTGGAAAAGTGGTAACCTCAGCAATTTAGGCACTTTTCCAGACTTCAAAATCCATTAAAATCAATCCATTAAAATCTGTTCCTCACTTTCTCACTGAGGAGGGAAAAGGGGAAAGGCAGCGTAGGCAGTGTATTCTGTTTCCAAGCAAGTTACAGAGGGAGTGAAAAAAATGATCCCATTATTGTCATACACACACACACACACACACACACACACACACACACATGCACGCACGCACGCACGCACCTCACCACCACCATTAACAACAACAGCAGCAGCAGCAACAGAGACAAAACTAGAAATCCCCCTAACCTGAGGCTTCATTTGGGGATTGGAAGAGGGAGCTAACATTATCTTGGGATAAATGCAAGCTTAGTAACTGAACCACAATGACTATTTTCTTAAATCAGAGGTCCATTTCTTTGGGAATCAGCCTAATCAAGCTGTTTTGATAGCTGATTGAGTCATCTTTGGATCTGCATCACAAATGCACTATTATTTTTTAGTTTGATATGATTTTAGTAGAATGAGCTTACTAAGCCTTAAAGCCTGGTTGGGGTCATCTTGAAGACTGCCTTCTTCCAGAATTTTTCTAAACTGTCTCTCTCCCTCTCAATCTCATTTTCTCCTGGCCTCATGCAGCCTATTTGCTATTCTCGACATTTGTTCCACTATTTACAGGATAAACTCGCTATGGGGCAGTTTCTTGGGAAACAAACTGAGTGGACACAAGGCACTGCCCTAGGTGTCCATAAGATATGAAGGTATGAAAAACATTCCCCCTTTCCCTTTTGGAGTTGTCTGTCAAGTTGGAGAAAGAAGCCACACACACAAATATAATAAACAATGTAACCAACAGCAGCAGATGTTACTATAAAGTGGCTAGTGTGGACAATTGCTTGATAATCACAATTAATATTGGTTGATCACTTACTGTGTAATGGCACAAATACCGTTGTCTCCTGTCCTCTTCACAGTCACCCTGGGAGGAAGACATGATTCTCCCCCATACATAAAGGACCGAGATTCACTCAATTGATAAATAGCTCTGGGTCTCTGCTACCATCACCCAGGATACCTACTTCTGTTAGCACTGCCGGTTGCTGTAGGAGTTTAGAGGGAACCCAGATATCTATAGAGTGAAAGAATTGCTATAAAATAATCTGTCAGTGTATGGGCAGGTGGGAACAGAGCGCTGAGAGTATATCAGATAGTTTAGAGCAGTCAGAAACAGTTTATAGCTGTGCATTCATAGCAAGCCAGGAGCAGTGACTGACCAACTTAGCCTAGTAGCCTAGTGGGAGATGCTCTGGGCATCAGAAGCCTCTCTGAGAGCTAGCTACCCAGGACCTGAGTGTGCATAGGAGACCTCGTGGAAGAACTGTGTTCTTAAAATACATCCCGGGTGCTTAGTCCCAGCTGCTCCAGCCTTTAGGACTTTGCAGGGAATTGTCTTCCAGGAAGAGCCCATCTGTTTCCAAAGTTGGGAATACAGAGTCTCAGGGGGTGGGCTGTGACTAGAGAAAACCAGTGAATAGAACAAGCAGCGGCCAGCACTCTGCCCCCTCAGCAGCAGGAAGGGGTGGGGGTGGGGAGCTGGGTCCAGTTAGCAGGAGGCCTAGAGGCAGCGAAGAGGGAGCTTGGGGGGAGGGGAGTTGTATCTGCTTGGTAAACATTAAAGTTCCAATTCACTAGTTAAAGATTGGCTTTTGTGTCCTCACTCCGGCAACTCTAGAATACAAAACAAACTAGCACACTCTTCCAGGCTGCCTCCCACCCCACCCTCAGTCAGCCACACAGACATGCAATGTCCCTGCCATAGAGACTCCTGGACTCGGGTCATTGCAACTCAGGACAGTCATTTCTATGGAAATTCAGTGTGACCTTCTTTGAGTTTACTAGGAAAGATGGTGAAATGGAAAATTAAAAAAAAAAAAAGCTCGGTTGAATTTCTAGCATGCTGTCTCAGGGTGTCTCTTCTGTCATTCCCCTTGCCTCTCACCTTCCTCTTCCTTAAATCCTATTTTATCTCTTTCCTCTTTTTCCTTTTTCTCTCTTCATTTTCCACCTATTTCCTTCTCTCTTCCTTCTGAACATTTTGCTCCTCTTTATCATTCTCATTTTCAACCATTTCCCCCTGCCTCTATCTTCTTCACTATCTCTCTTCCTCCTCCTCTCTCCATCTTCTCACTCTCTTCTGT